GTCCAACTAAACGCCGAGGGCGGGTAAACTTGTCACGACATCCTGAGCGAGGCGTTGCGGGCAATTTGAGAAGTAAGACAACAAATTAGAAGTAGCAATTTGACCTTTCCCCCCCCCCTCCTCTCCCCCCCCCCCCTCCCCCACGGGTTTGACGTCTGATGCTGGCACTTCCGTATCTGGCGGAAAAAATAATATCCGGATCAACAGCTAATGAGTGACTGTGAGTAATGTGTGTGTTGCCTTTACTTGGGGGTGGGGGGGGGGGGGGGGTTGTAGATGGGGATAACTCAAGGGAGGTCATTTACTGCTGATGTGTATAGGGGTGGTCATCTTCTGCAAAATGTGCTGGATGGGTTGTTCGGCTGATGTAAATATGAAGAGAGTATCGAAATGTAAAGAGGGGAGGTTATTTAGGAATATTGGAGGTTATCTAGTATAGATATGTACGTCATAGGCCATCTAGTATAGATGTGAGCGTCGTTGGCCATCTAGTATAGATGTGAGCGTCGTTGGCCATTTAGAATTGAGCGTCATAGGCCATCTAGTATAGATCTGAACGTCGTTGGCCATCTAGAATTGAGCGTCATAGGCCATCTAGTATAGATCTGAGCGTCGTTGGCCATTTAGAATTGAGCGTCATAGGCCATCTAGTATAGATCTGAACGTCGTATGCCATCTAGTATAGATCTGAGCGTCATAGGCCATCTAGTATAGATTTGAGCGTCGTGGGCCATCTAGTATAGATCTGAACGTCGTAGGCCATCTAGTATAGATGTGAGCGTCATAGGCCATCTAGTATAGATCTGAACGTCGTTGGCCATCTAGTATAGATGTGAGCGTCATAGGCCATCTAGTATAGATCTGAACGTCGTTGGCCATCTAGTATAGATGTGAGCGTCATAGGCCATCTAGTATAGATGTGAACGTCGTTGTCCATGTAGTATAGATGTGAGCGTCATAGGCCATCTAGTATAGATGTGAACGTCGTAGGCCATCTAGTATAGATGTGAGCGTCATAGGCCATCTAGTATAGATGTGAACGTCGTTGGCCATCTAGTATAGATGTGAACGTCGTAGGCCATCTAGTATAGATGTGAACGTCATAGGCCATCTAGTATAGATGTGAACGTCGTTGGCCATCTAGTATAGATGTGAACGTCGTAGGCCATCTAGAATAGATGTGAACGTCGTAGGCCATCTAGAATAGATGTGAACGTAGTAGGCCATCTAGAATAGATGTGAACGTCGTAGGCCATCTAGTATAGATCTGAACGTCTTAGGCCATCTAGTATAGATGTGAAAGTCGTAGGCCATCTAGTATAGATGTGAAAGTCGTAGACCATCTAGTATAGATGTGAACGTCGTAGGCCATCTAGATGTGAACGTCGTTGGCCATCTAGATGTGAACGTCGTAGGCCATCTAGTATAGATGTGAACGTCGTAGGCCATCTAGTATAGATGTGAACGTCGTAGGCCATCTAGTATAGATGTGAACGTCGTTGGCCATCTAGAATAGATCTGAACGTCGTTGGCCATCTAGAATAAACGTGAAGAAAGCGTTTCATCTACTGCAGACAAGAACTGGTGAGGCAACCTACTTGAAATGTGATCAGAGGAGGCTATTGTCTAAATACATTAAGGGGAGGTCATCAAATAATGATGCGATAAAGGGAGGTCATCTACTATAGATGTGAACACAGAGGAGGCTGTTTACTGAAAATATAAATAGTTCAAGATACGTCTAAATTTATCTTTATGCGTACACTTTTAAAAACCCTCACGACGCCACTGTCCATGAGGATAAAATCTAAACAGCTGACTTAGGACACGCACGTACTTTGGGTTCCGTGTTATTCCACTGTGCACGTGTTGTATGATCACGTGGCTCACGGTTTACACCATGTGTCACGTGATGTTTAATTTGTTACAACTCCTCGCTCGTCAGTCAGCCTGCATTGTTTGGTTTATTCAGTTTTTTTGAGAACGTCTTTCATCTCAAACAAGACCCCCACTCTCTTTTCTAATTAGCGTTTACAAAAAGGTATCTGAAGTTGTTTTTTTTAAATACAAAAACAAAATAATGTGGATGTTTTTTTTTAAAGATTAAGGCGTCATTAAAACGTGTAGATAAAAATATTTTATTCTTAAACTTAATGTGGTGGGTACGTATTTGGGGGAGGGGGGGGGGAGTAGTTATCTAGGTGGGGCTTGGATAACCTTACTTCAATGAAAGCAAACTCAGGTGCAGGTGTTCATCCTGAATTTAAGATAAAAAAAAATTGTAGATAAAATTTATTGGCCATCAGAAATTTATCTAGGTACTTAATTTGACATTGGTTTGTTGAAAAGAAATATATATATATATATATATATATATATATATATATATATATATATATATATATATATATATATATATATATATATATATATATATATATATATATATATATATTTTCTATTATTATACAGGGTAAACATGAGTAACCTGATCACTATTGTTGAAATGGGCCAATCATGTGCTTTCAAGTTTTAAATTTTAAGAATCAATGTTACAACATTTGCGAAATCCGAGAACTTAAAGATGTTGTAAGACATCTGTTAAGCGACCAACTACTATTTATTTGTTAAAATAGGCAAGTCTGTTTTGTTTTGTTATTCTCTCGCTGTATTTGGAAGCTAGTTATAACAAAGGTTTTTATATTTGTTTTATGTTCCGCTTTTTAATATTTCTTACTAAATGAAGATGACTTCACGTTGGCTACGACTAAAAATATTTGCTCTAAAACCCGAACAGTAGACAATCATTTGCCCCTTGATAGTCTCTGTTTGACTCTTATACCGCGTTTACACTTGCGACATGTATACTATACATGTCTAGAAAAAAAAACTTCGCTATAGGGCCTAAGATAATAGGGGAGCGTACTCACTTATTGCGAAGTTTTTTTTTTTCTAGTCATGTATAGTATACTTGTCGCAAGTGTAAACGCGGTATTAGAAGAAAAAAAATGGAAAAAAAAAAGACGTGGTGAATAAAAAAACAACGGTTCATCGTCGTCTAAAAGCTGATCGATCAATTGCAAATGTTTAACCTCGTTATCTCCCCTTATATTATTGAATTTAACAATCTTTTAATTGAATTGTATTAACTAACATAATGTCGAATTTGATTACAAATGTTGTATTCTTGCGTTGTCACCGGAGACGAATATGAGAGTTACAATATTTGCCATAAACCTTCAAACATACGACACATCAAGCAAACAATGTGAGCTAAATAAAAGCTTATTAAAACAAAATAAAAAATAAACATTGCTATCTTGTATTTTGGGCAATTCACAAAAGTTGAACTGTTGAATGTCGGCATGAGCTTGTTAAGCAATGTTTGTTTTACATGTTTACATGTTTTGTTTTACCATGTAGGCCTACCATGAGGAGGAGAAAGTCAAATAGCTTTGGATTTGTTTGTTTTTTTAACTGTGTTTAGTTACCGACTATATCAAAAACATCATAACTGTCCAAAAATTCTGAATGTTGATCAGAAATTACATAATTATTTTTTTAAAATATCACATGTTTTTTTAAATTTTTTATGACACTACACATGGTTTTTACAAATTCAAATGCCAATTTAAATGATCCAGCATTTTCGATGCCATTATCTACGTGTTTGTCGATTTGATGTAATTATCAAACATCGAGACATTTATTATAGAGTTAGTTTCAAATGTGACCGTGGTTTCAGCACTTCACAGCTGCAAATACTCCGGCCACCCCGGGGCTATCTGCTGCTAGTGTCAACAGTTGTACCGGGGCGCTGCCAGGGTTTTTACGCCACCCTGAAGTCGCGACAGGCTGCAACCATCTGGTTGGCGGGGCTATACAACCCGTCAAATTATTTAGTCCGGCACATCTAATAATCCCCACCCCCCCCTCCACTAATCTAACACCAAGAATCCCACCCCTTGACATAATCAAACACCTCCGATTTGGAGTTGTTTAGGTAAGAACAAAAATAGTCCCACTTCTTTACACAACTAAACACCACCAAATACATTCAACCTACCTATGTTACCACCAAACACCACAAAACACCCCAAAATACATTCAACCCATCTATAATACCACAAAACACCACCAAATACATTCAACCCACCTATAATACCACAAAACACCACCAAATACATTAAACCTACCTATGTTACCACCAAACACCACAAAACACCACCAAATACATTCAATCTACCTCTGTTACCACCAAACACCACAAAACACCACCAAATACATTCAACCTACCTATGTTACCACCAAACACCACAAAACACCACCAAATACATTCAACCCACCTATCTTACCACCAAACACCACCAAACACCACCAAACACATTCAACCCACCTATGTTACCACCAAACACCACCAAACACCACCAAATACATTCAACCAACCTATGTTACCACCAAACACCACCAAATACATTCAACCCACCTATGTTACCACTAAACACCACCAAACACCACTAAATACATTCAACCCACCTATGTTACCACCAAACACCACCAAACACCACCAAACACATTCAACCCACCTATGTTACCACCAAACACCACCAAACACCATCAAATACATTCAACCCACCTATGTTACCACCAAACACCACCAAACACCACAAAATACATTCAACCCACCTATGTTACCACCAAACACCACCAAACACATTCAACCCACCTATGTTACCACCAAACACCACCAAACACCACCAAATGCATTCAACCCACCTATGTTACCACTAAACACCACCAAATACATTCAACCCACCTATGTTACCACTAACACCACCAAATACATTCAAACCCACCTATCTTACCACCAAACACACCATACACCACCTTCTTGGTAAAGAATATTCAACTTCATTTATAGAAAATTCTATCAGTGTCTGAGGCTTGTGTTGTAGACTTGTTCCATTAGTGTCAGTACCCTAACCCAGACCAGAACCAGACTATAGAGTCAGAGAGTAGCCATAACCCTGACAGTAGCCATAACCCTGACAGTAGCCATAACCCTGACAGTAGTCATAACCCTGACAGTAGCCATAACCCTGACAGTAGCCATAACCCTGACAGTAGCCATAACCCAGACAGTAGCCATAACCCTGACAGTAGCCATAACCCAGATAGTAGCCATAACCCTGACAGTAGCCATAACCCTGACAGTAGCCATAACCCTGACAGTAGCCATAAACCAGACAGTAGCCATAAACCAGACAGTAGCCATAACCCTGACAGTAGCCATAACCCTGAGAGTAGCCATAACCCTGACAGTAGCCATAACCATGACAGTAGCCATAACCCTGACAGTAGCCATAACCCAGACAGTAGCCATAAAACAGACAGTAGCCATAACCCTGACAGTAGCCATAACCCTGACAGTAGCCATAACCCTGACAGTAGCCATAACCCAGACAGTAGCCATAACCCAGACAGTAGCCATAACCCTGACAGTAGCCATAACCCAGACAGTAGCCATAACCCAGACAGTAGCCATAACCCAGACAGTAGCCATAAACCAGACAGTAGCCATAACCCATACAGTAGCCATAAACCAGACAGTAGCCATAACCCAGACAGTAGCCATAAACCAGACAGTAGCCATAACCCAGAAAGTAGCCATAACCCAGACAGTAGCCATACCCCGAAAGTAGCCATAAACCTTACAGTAACCATAACCCAGACAGTAGCCATAACCCAGATAGTAGCCATAACCCAGACAGTAGCCATAACCCAGATAGTAGCCATAACCCTGACAGTAGCCATAACCCTGAGAGTAGCCATAACCCTGACAGTAGCCATAACCCTGACAGTAGCCATAACCCTGACAGTAGCCATAACCCAGACAGTAGCCATAAACCAGACAGTAGCCATAACCCTGACAGTAGCCATAACCCTGACAGTAGCCATAACCCTGACAGTAGCCATAACCCAGACAGTAGCCATAACCCAGACAGTAGCCATAACCCTGACAGTAGCCATAACCCTGACAGTAGCCATAACCCTGACAGTAGCCATAACCCTGACAGTAGCCATAACCCTGACAGTAGCCATAACCCTGACAGTAGCCATAAACCTGACAGTAGCCATAACCCTGACAGTAGCCATAACCCAGACAGTAGCCATAACCCAGACAGTAGCCATAACCCAGACAGTAGCCATAACCCAGACAGTAGCCATAACCCTGACAGTAGCCATAACCCAGACAGTAGCCATAACCCAGACAGTAGCCATAACCCAGATAGTAACCATAACCCAGATAGTAGCCATAACCCAGACAGTAGCCAGACAGTAGCCATAACCCTGACAGTAGCCATAACCCTGACAGTAGCCATAACCCTGACAGTAGCCATAACCCAGACAGTAGCCATAACCCTGACAGTAGCCATAACCCTGACAGTAGCCATAAACCAGACAGTAGCCATAACCCTGACAGTAGCCATAACCCAGACATTAGCCATAACCCAGACATTAGCCATAACCTTGACTAGAACCAGTCTATAGAGTCAGACAGTTGCCATAACCCAGATAATAGCCATAACCATGACCCTAACAGAATACAGTAGAGTTGGTAATCATCACTTTGACTTAACATGTTTTTTTCATTAGATGTTTAATTAACTTTTGAAAAATTAATCCAAGTTTCCTTTATAAAGTACTAATTTTCATCTATGTTATTCCCATATTGCTGAATGTCGTTTTGGTGCGTTTTTTTTCTACTTGGTTCTATTTTATTTTTGAAAAGATGCAAAAAAAAAAAAATACTAACAAAATTTTCAAAAGCTCGATTACATTGAAAGTGCCACCCCCTCACCATTATATAACAAAAATGCGAGAAAATGTAGGGGAGATCACTCTCGTTTTATTTATTTTTTATATTAATTAATTATCTACATTATTAAATTTAAACCGCTCCACCCACTGAAGGCTCATTTCTCACGTATGTATCCTAATCCCAATTTTCTAGAGATACATTTACATCCTTATCCCAACGCTTTAGAGAGAGAAAAAATACCTCCCTCTTTTTCTTCAGATTCTCTGTCTAGTTAGCAGGTGTAAAAGTTAGTGCTTAATTCCTGACATTAAATGCGGCCAGCTAATCTTAACTGCTGTTTACACGATAAAGACGGGGAGAGGGCGGCCATGTTTTCCCATCGCTTCCTGTCTTCTGCGGCTGCGCAGACCGGCGGGACGACAACAAAAGAACGGAAGTTGGTGGAGGAGCTGCGCCAAACTTGGGCTGTGATCTAGTTTGTTGTGAGGGGGGGGGGGAGGTTAAAGGTCGCTGGCTGACCTTTAACAATACAGGGGAGATAATCATAAGTTGGTGATAAGGGGAGGTAATCATAATACAGAGATGTACGTTTGAAGGGTGATTTAGTTTGGTTGTAGAGACATGAAAACTGGACATGGGAAGAGAGGTTTAAAATAGACATAAAATAAAGAAATAAACATCGTGGTTTGAGAGTGCAAGGGTTTTCATAGAAGTACAGAGGCGTAGCTAGCGAGGGGGGGGGGGGGGCGGGGGGGGGGAACAAATGTCCCCGGGCGCCGAACTTAGGGGGCGCCAAAATGGGTTTGAAAAACAAATCAAAAGTTTGAGGGAGGGGGGGGGGTGGTGCAAATCGAAAGTTTGAGGGGGGGGGGGGGGGGGTGCAAATCGAAAGTTTATCCCCTGGCGCCGGGAAGGATCGCTACGCCTCTGTAGAAGTATACACCACTAAAGTAAAGATTAATTGTATTACTATGCGTATGATGTAAGATTTCTGAACAGTACTCTTGGTCGGAAGTTATTGGTTATTTCTCTAATTATAGTTTATTTACAAATTATATATATATATATATATATATATATATATATATATATATATATATATATATATATATATATATATATATATGTTACGGGTCAGTCGATATATTTCTCAAACTCGATTTAAAAATTTGACTTCTGTTTCAACTCAGCTAATATAAGTTCCTGTCAACATGAAGTAGTTAGCAACATAATGTGTTGTCGGTTTTAATTTATTATAAACTATAAATTGTTATGAACTATAATTTGTTAAACACTATATTTTTTTATTATTTACAATTTGTTATCAATTATAATTTCTTATAAACTATAACTTGTTATCAATATTATTTGTTATCAATTATACCTTGTAATAAATATTATTTTTTTTATCTTTTTAAACTTATATTTTAGCGAGCGCAAATCCTGTCTGTCAGGAATAAAAAGAACGCATTTTTGTTTTAAAAATTTTATTGGCAATAAAAAGTCACAACATGTTTTACAGTAACAAGAGACAAGTTAACAATAATTTACATCGTGTCCAATATGTGATGGTTGATATATACAGAAAGAAATAACAAAAGTAGAGCCAAAGGGGAATAATTATAGGGGTTAAGTACAATAAATAGTACAGATTACAAAGGATCTGAGGTTAGATGAACTCCGTATGTTTATCATTCAGCAAACTATAAATTAACAAAACTATATATAATATATATAATGTATAAATTAATATACATAAACGTTCAGACTTAAATTTAAGGTCGTGTGGCTTTAAGGGTGCTGGCATTTTAAAGATGTCATATTACTTCTATCTGTAATGTTAAAGTTTGAGAATATTCCATGTTACAAAAAAAAAAAAATACTGGTTACAGTTTTAACTTTTGGGTTACCTCAAAGGGGAGATTACTCTTCCAGTATCACATAATAAAACATTAGGAACACCAGGCTTAGTCATTTACATCTTGGATGCCTAGCATTCATAAAGGGTGATGAGTATATACACAAATGACGTGTACAATTAATAGGGTTGTCACTACTGGTAGCATCAATGTAAAAATGCAGTTACAGATAACAGTAATGTTCTGCCAAAGTATCATCAATAATATTAAAGTTTTAAAATATTCCATGTTTCAAACAAAAGAATACCTGGTTACAGTTTTTACTTTTGGGTTACCTATTTTTTTTTTTTAATTTAAATACTTTTATTTTCCAATTTAAAACAAATACAGTAACATTCCACGCCGTTTGGGTGGATATTTACAAGGTAGTTACATTGGTGTACAGAGTATAGTAAATAAATCGCGAAATATGTGAATGAATACAAAAGATACATTGAATTTAAAGCTTGTTGGTTCAAAAATTGAAAAGAGGCTGGTTTGTAACATGTTTGCCAACAAAAGTAGTGGAAGAGTATAACGTATGGAAGAATAGTCGAAAACAAAGCTGGTTTGTATGGATGTCATCCCATTCTGTACAATAAACATAGTAAATACCAAAGAAAAAGGAATAACCAGTAGAGTAGTCATACACACACACACAAAATTTGTTGTTCAACACAGTTTCACTTACATTTGTACATTTGGGTTACCTAAATAAGATTTTTTTTTTTTTTTTTTTTTTTAATACTTTTATTTGCAATTAAAACAAGTACATCAACATCAAATTTGTTAACATAATTTTGAACACCAAATGAAAACGGAAGGTTTTGCAAATGTACATAATGAATGTTTACATGATGTCATGTATTTGATTATAAAAAAATTGCAAAGGATGCCTTCTGTTGGAATTTTTAAATGAACAAACTACGCGCAACTCTTCAAGTCTTGATTGTGAAAGTGTACTTTTTTCAAGTGTTACTTTTAAAAATACAGACGCACCAATTATTATACTTCAGCACATCTACAATATGTGTAGAATTTATAAGCATAAAGTATTTAATTACTAACTAAATAAATAAACAAACTCGCCAACTTTAAGTTGCAAATGCAATAAAGTTGTAACATATACTCCAAAGTAAAAACACTATACATCCAAAAGAGTAGTTTCCCTTCTCCCTTTTACAAAAAGACGAAACTACCCAATAAAGTAGATTATAAAAATCTATAACACGTGTTTCACATAATGTAAGGGTGAGGGTATCCTAACGACTTCTTTGGTCAGCGCGTGAGCATGTCCATCAGAGTCAGAGTGACGTCAGCTTTCTGCTCACACCACGCTGATGCTGGTGTGAGTAGTTTATTGAATGGATGGGTGAGCGACAGAGGCGTAGCGAGGTGGGGGGGGGGGGGGCGACATATGTCCCCGGTCGCCGAATTTAGGGGGGGGGGCGCCAAAATGGGTTGGAAAAACAAATTGAAAGATGAGGGTGTGTGTGTAAATTAAAAGTTCGAGGGGGGGGGGGGTGCAAATCGAAAGTTTGGGGGGGGGGTGCAAATCGAAAGTTTGAGGGGGGTGGGGGTGCACCTACTTGAACCATATTAAGAAAATTTAACAAAAGTTTTTTAAAAAAATCTTAGGAAAAAAAATAGAGGCGGCTGCGTATACCTAATAAGCTTTTTTTTTTTTATAAACTTAAACCTCGTAACATAGAACAAAACTAAAATGGAACAAATGTTCACTGTTAAACGAGGCTTGGCTTTCATGTAAAAAAAAAAAACAAGGGGGGGGAGGGGAGAGACAAGTTACCTACCAAGGGAGCTAAATTAACCGCGTCATGTAACAAGGGAGGTAAGAAACTAAAAACTT